AAAAAGAGTCACTAGTTAGTTTGAAAGGTGTCTTTGTAGGACCTTTGGTGTAGGCCTTGAGGCTTGCAATCAAAACTAACAAGGATTTAGGCGTGCCACTATTATCTTTACATAACAGACTGTCGAATAGAAGTGAATTAAGTTGATTACTTGCGCCCTAAGTTTCTTAAACTTCTTGTTATCAAAGGATTGTCATAGATGGGTTAAGTCTGTATTAAGTTCTTTTTCTTTTCTTGTAAACAAGGACTTTTAGTTCATAATCTTGTATGTTTGAAACGAAGGGAGTTCAAGACCCTTTCAACCACTTCCTCGATCACAGTTTGCTTTTAAGGAAAACAGGTTGATTAACTTAACTAGATTTGGATACAAATGAGACTCTTAAGTAGAAAACAGTTGATAATGACTTGAATACATGATGGAAGGTACATTTAAGCAACATATCTAATATATAAAAGTACAAACAAAGAGACTTGGGCAAGATTTAACCTTGTCAGGCGAGGTTGAACTTCTTGCAACCACCTCTTTTTGAGTTTACAGAGGTTGTATGCTAAAAAGGATGGTAGGTAACTAGGTTTGACACGAGGAAATTGATACTACAACACTAAGGGAAGGTAGCAGAGCTTTTATACTAGACAGAAGATGGCTTTTCTAAAGGAACTATAGCTAAAAGGACTAAATCTGAACAAGTTTCAACTTTCTGGGTACGAACTGACTTGAGAGCAGAGTTTGTATGTCTTTTGATTGGTTATTTGAGTGTCCTTGTCTCTGATGTCTCTTTCTTCTTTTATAGACAATTTGGCCTGACCCCTTGAGCTTTGCTTTTGGCCGATGGCTTTCGGAGGGCAATGAGTCATTACTTAATTACTTGTCATGCCCTCGAAAATGTGCTTTTGGCTGGTGGTGAGTTGGTCTCTGTTACCTGTCACTTCACTCATAGGCACATGGCCTATGCCTTTGTCTGAAATGACTTCAACTTGCTTCAGGCCTTTCGACTAGACTTCAGGCAATTCTCCATTTACTTTGGAATCCTTGGGCCACCTTATCATAAAGCCCAATGTTAAATATTAACACAAACAGATTGAAAAACCCAAAATATCTCATACTCTCCAAATTGACAAATCAGTAAATCTTGATTGCCTACCTTAAAAGTTTAACAAGCATGCCATGATGCATATGGATGGAATGCTAACAAAAGGGATGAATCAGTCGGATATATTTTCCCAAATTTGTCAGAATTTTACATGGTAATAAGTAATAACTTTTGGGTGACAAATTTGAATCTGCACACATAAAATCTGAATTGACCGATTAATGTTCCCGATTCAATCTATAGCATACATGGTATGTTAATGTCCAACCAAAAGGAAAAGAGTAGTCCGTATATGTGTGTGTACATATATAACATATAACATGAACAAGAATCATCACTCTACGGGAAGCATTTACGATTAGGTTTGGTCACACAATGGTTGCGAGTAGCCGTATTATGTTCGTTCTTTTTGCCGTGGTGGTACTCACACTGGGCCAATCTTCACGTCCGGTCTCGGCATGGCTGGCCGGGGAGGTCCTTCTCGAGATACAAAACGTTATGGACCCTTCGAAGGCTAAAATCGAAGTTCATTGCAAGTCCGGGGACGACGATCTGCAAAACCATGTACTCGAATATGGCAAGATTTACAGCTTCAAATTCGAGAATAACGCTCTGGACACAACCCTTTTCTATTGCTACTTTCAGTGGAAAAATCCTGAGGGAAAATGGATCCAAACCTCCCATGACATATACGACGCCAAGAGGGATCAAGAACGTTGCATGCATCATTGCCAGTGGCGGGTTGCAGAAGAAGGCTTCTTTTCTTACAGCATAAAGAACGACGTTTGGGAAAACCTCTACAATTGGACCTAAATGAAAACTACGTACTTTGTGTTTTTCTCATTCGTTGATGACGAGTTCGAGTCCTTAATTTAATAAATCTCGTCTTATGTGATATTCTGGGTGGTCACATTTGTCAGAAATTTGAGTAGTTTGAGTAGAAATTTCTTTGTCCCACATTGGTCATTCCCAAAAGTTTTTATCACTTTATAAGGCTTTGTTATTTACAGAAAATGATTGGAGTAATAGGTCTGGAGAGTAAAATTGGGCTCACCCTTAGGGTTGGACTTTGGGGTGTATTAATTAATTGGTAATTAATATATCATTAATTATAAATAGTATATAATTAATTATAATTAATTATCAAAAGATGGGCTTGGGATTTAATTAATTATTTTTAATTAAATTCGAATTTAATTATTTATTTATTTTTTATGAAAAGACTCATATGAAGTCTGAGAGTTCTTTCTGAACACAAAGCAAAGCACCCCTCTGAAGTGTCTCCCAACAGTCACACCCCACTCTCATACCTGTTGCAAACAGGCATCCATTTGCTATATATACATTCATCTGCATGGCATTTAGAATACAGAAATAATCAACTTCATCCTCTACATTCCTAAACCTTCTTACTGAGAGAACCACACTAAATTCGCCAGAAGTTAAATTTGTCCGGTGCTGGAATATTAACTTGATCGTTGAATCCTGGTGAAGCAGACGTCCGTAGAACTACAAGCACAGAGTAGGGACAAAATTTCTGTTTTAAGGACATTGCGGCACGCAAGCCTCGATCTTCAAGTTGTCTGTTTTTATAATTCGTATTCTAGTTTATATTCTGTTAATTCTTATTGCATTTATTATTTATTAGCATATATAAATTATCACAGATTGTTGACATATATCCAACAACATGTCTTTTTTACGATGATTGAAGTTATTTTTGTGTTCAGCTTATTTGAGTTAATTTGAGGTTTTCTTGATTACAAATGCACGTGTGAATGTTAATTTTACATATCTGTTTACAGGGGAGGGTAAGGGTTACTCTTTTACTTTTAATTAGTTGAAAACGAATTGTGCATTTTGAGGTGCGATGCGATTGAGGACATGAGAACCCATGCATACACATGAGAAGGCTTTTGGCCGGACGCTCCGATTACTACTTAGGCGCTTAGATAATTAATAAAGGCTTTAAGCGGTTAGAAAATAGGAATTAGATATGGGGTTCATTCTATATCAAACTTCAATAATTCGAACCGTCTATTTTTGTAATCTCAACTCATAGATTATCCTTGCAAAAATTCAATTCAATTCGAAATCATTTGCCTATTTAATTATCGAGATAAAATTTCATTATTTCTTATATAGCAAAATATTTGTTAATTTCTTTGAACTCAATTAGATGTCTTAAACATTTCCAATTTGGCTAATATTTTGTAAGGATGATCTATGAGGTGCAACTTGTATTTGTTAATTTTTTTGAACTCAATTAGATGTCTTAAACATTTCTGATTTGGCTAATATTTTGTAAGGATGATCTATGAGGTGCAACTTGAAAAACTGATGGTTCGGATTCTTAAAGTACGATATAGTGTGGACCCCACAACTAATCCCCATTTTTATAAAAAATGGGAATCCCTTCCCTTAAATATTTCCTCTATATATATATTTGATGCATTATTTTGATATGTCTTTGAAGTTTTTTATCTTGAGGGCATTTTTGTTCAAATATTTTTGTTGAAACTTAATGACCAAAATCACTATTCACCTTTTCATTGGCTTTATATGTAGAAGATATAGGGTCATTATCAGGGACAAACTTTTCTACAAGTATTTTAAACTCGTTTTTTTTAATACAAAAATATATTTTACATTAAAGGAGAGGGGAGTTTGGCTAGGTTACACAATAGGCAACCTAATTTGGTATCGAATTCTCCATCTACGAGATTCGAACATAAGACTTCTCACTTACAAATGAATGAATACCACGTTTGAATCATTAAATGTCATAACATCCTACGGTTATGAATAAAGATGGTGTGGAAGGTTTTTATTTTTATTTTTTAACAAACGATATTATTTACGCTAAAGGAGTGGGCTTAGACCCAATTCGGTATTGCTTTTTTCACCAAAAACTGCTTCACTTTAAAGTTAAGCAGTGAAAAAATGTTTGGTAAAAATAAAATATACTGCTTATTTTAAAAGCAATGGTCTGTAGACAGCAACTTTTAAAAGAAGCCTTGAAATTACTTTTAAAAGCTGCTTTAATAAAAAATGGAGTTGAGTTTTTGGAATATTTTTAATTTCTAAATCAAGCTCATTAATTTTAAACAATGACTTTATTTATCTTTCTAGACATTGTTTTTACACTGTTTTTCATCCTCACAACTTTTTTGAAAATATTGTTTATCAAACGCTTAACTGTTTTATTTTACAAATGATTATTTTTAAGGCACAACATAAGCAATTTATTAAAAAAGCATAGCAATCCCAAACTGGCTCTTAGTTTCACAATAGGGTAAAAATAATATAGTTCAAATTCGTCTTTAACGAAAATCAAACTTAAAACTTCTCACATACAAATAAAAATGAATACTACTATATCGTAGTATGAATGACGATCATAACATTATTCTATACTATTATTAAAAGAACCCTCCTTGTCAACTTTTTGCCCATTTTTTTCTATTTTACCCTCACTTTTGATACACAATACTTATATAATGAGGGTAAAATAGTAATTTTGTATCTTTTGAGAAAATGACAATCATATTCCCATTTTTTCCTATTTTTCCCTGTTTTTTTTACACAATATATTACATAAGGATGATAAAACAATAATTATGTAATATTAGGATACAATATGCGTTTATTAAAAAAAATTGTTCCACATCATTTTTTCATACTTTTTTTTTAAATTTTAAAAACTAATCACATTTCTTAATAAAAAAATAAAAAATAAAATGAAATTAATTGACATAATGACGAATAACTTCTGAAAAATAAAAAGTGTAGCGTAAAAGAAAGATACAAAATTGATTGACATGACATGCACCACGACTTTCCCTATTGCAATTTGCCTCCTTTTCCTTTTGCAGTTGCTTCTTTCTCTCTCCCAAGTTTGGTGTCCGTCCTGCGCTTCTCTCAGTGGAAACCAACCCATAATTTCCTATGCCTCCATTATTCAACTCGACCTCCCACGTTCCGTGTTCCTTTCTTTTGTTTTCTTTTCCTAATAAAACCCAAGGAAATGCATCTGCCATTATTGTTGTCTTCCTGCGTTGTCTGGTCTCGCGACAAAACGAGCACATGGCCCTCTCTTCTTGCTTTTCCCTCTCTCCACTCTCTTCCATTTCCAAGGTATCCTTTTTTTGTTCTTGTAATCTTTTCTTCCTAAATTATGAAACTTTTTTATTCTTTTTGTAGTTCTCGATGAATTTATGATCCTCTCGAAATGGGCTATCTCTAATCTTGCATATAGGGTTGAAAGTAGTTATGTTTTGTCCATGGATTTGCAGTTTGGTTGCAGCGGAGCGTTGTTTTTCTTGACCTTAAAGCTACATAATTGTTCTTCTTTTATGGCTGCTTGTATGATTAATTTCTGCTGCCTGCTGCGGCTTGATGGGTCGCTCGTGTAACTATGTTGTGCTTCTGCTGTAAAATAATTCATAACATGTTTGGTTTGGGGGCTTCTCTTACGATTAAACTTCCGTTTCTTATAGATTGACTACGCTAAGAAGAGTGTAGGACCTCGGAGTATTGATGGAAGGAAACAAGGGTTCCCTTTTCTGCTCAGAAGTAGTAACACTGAACTCTTTGGTCATCAGCTTGTGACTGTGGGAGCTCACTTACACATGAACTGGAGTTTTGTCGGAGGTTCGAGAGTTACTGTGAGACCAAAGCATGAGAGACTCGTTCCGCATCGAAAACTCTCTGGAGTATATGCGTCATGTGATCCCCCTCTGCAACTTTGATTCCTTTTAGTCGTTTATTCTTAATATCATTTGTAACGTTGCGTGGCTGATATAAGTTTATGTGTAACTTGCAATGTTTGAAAGTAGGTTTATGCATGTTAGTAACTTGTTTATTCCTTAAAACGTTTCTAGTAAAGAAGTCCTAGCACAGAGAGGTTTTTGAGGTACAAATTTATGACGAAAAATGTGCAAGTAACTTATGCTACGCCTAAGTCCAACGAAACTACGCAAATTGGAAAGCCCGTAGCATGTTTTGGGAGTACTGACGTTGAAGTAGCCCCATATGTGCAAAACAATGTAGGAGTAGTATTATGAACAGAGAAAATCTGTAACTAAGAGACCACCAGGTTTGAGCTGCTGAATGTGAGTGTTGCCTGCCTAACTGACTAGATCAAAGTCAGACACAAAACCACCAGCTAATGTCCATATGACTTGTTCTATGTTGCATGAGACCTCAACATCCAGTTCTACAAGCCCCTTCCATCTAATTGATTGGTGATTTCTTTGTTTTAGTTTTTTGCCGTTGGCATTTGGGTACATCTTAACACTTCTCCCCTACCTTTTAAGTTTGTTGTTCTCTCTATCGGAAACTCTTGGAATAATTTGTATAAATAGTTACTAATAGCAGTGTCATATGGTGGTTTGATAACTTTAGGAGTTGAAAATCTTCTTAATTAGTTTTGTCCAACCTGTAATAATTTTTAGCCATTTCATGTTCTTGTGATCCATACGTAACACGTTTGCTGTCATGCCCCTCCTGTTAGTGCAAGGATAAGGGGATGGTGCGGCTGGAGGTAGGCTTAGTTTCAAATATTACTGGTAAAATAAGTTTAATGTTGTTATTTTTTTTTCAGGGTTGGCAAGTTCTCAAATTGCTAGCACTGCTTTTACTTTCGGAACAACCGCAGTTCTCCCATTCTATGCCCTCATGGTTCTGGCACCTAAAGCTGAACTAGTATGTTTCTGTATTTATCTCAGTCCTCTGATTCTCATTCAATGTATCAATTTTTCTTCAACATGTAGATTAATTATCGTAATTCTCGCATATATTTGAAAGTTGTTATATGATTGTGTGCAATCCTCTGCGTGTGTGTTTTCCCCAAATCGTTACATCTCTTTCCTTGAAATACATGATTGTACTGATGGCATATTTCATCTCAAATTTAGTCTTTATGACTTTTAAATTCCTCGTCTCTTATTTCGGTAGGTTGAAGATCCATTTTTTATTATGATTTGCTGAACTTAAACTGATGCACCTAATTAGTTCAAATCACTTGAAATGCAGACGAAAATTTCCATGGAAAGTGGTATACCGTATATTGTGCTGGGAATTCTCTATGCTTATCTGCTATACCTCTCTTGGACTCCCGAAACGCTACAGTTGATTTTTGCAAGTAAATACTGGCTTCCTGAGGTATGCATTAACATATATACTTTCAGTTCTGATCAGTTATGAGCCTCTTATATGAAACTTTCTTTCCTGCCTATTTATTATTTGCAGCTGCCTGGTATGGGAAGGATGTTCTCGAACGAGATGACATTAGCTTCTGCTTGGATTCACTTATTGGTTGTTGATCTCTTTGCTGCAAGGTAGCTCTCTTCCTCTCACTTTGCTGTCTGTGTCCAAGAGTTTCTCGGTTCTAACACTCAGTGCGTTCATTTTTCCAGGCAAGTTTTTCGCGATGGACTGGACAATGAAATTGAGACGCGACATTCAGTTTCTCTTTGCCTCTTTTTCTGTCCTGTTGGAATCGCTACTCATGTTATTACCAAAGCACTGACTAAAAGTGCTGGAAGTTCCAGCAGACGTAACATGCATTGACAGTGAAGTTTTTCCGCGACAATCACGATTTTTAGGAAGTTGAAAAGAAAACCTGATTTGAATGAACGAACGAATGAAGATTCAGTTCGTCAGCAATTTACAAATATGTTTTCTTTGAAATCACAGATCTTATACAATCTGTGATCATATACACATTGACAAGTCATTCATTTTTGTGATTGGCATATATTATTACTTTTGATTTCACGAGGGGAGCAAACATTCTACTATGCTCCGGTCTATCATACACCTGAATTTTCGGCTGTTAGATCTTGGTCACTGGATTCTACCACTGATCTAAAGGCCAAATACCAGTGTGTAGGACACTCCGAAGCATACCAGATGATACCGAAAAAGAATTGTATGCACTCCAGCAAATACAAAACCATAAACTAACGAAAAGAAAACAACATAACATGCATACAGCAAAATGGACATTGCATGATGAATCATAATAAAAGTCATGAACAAGCTGACGGGGAAATATAATGTTGCTAAGTTCTTAAGAATTTATCCCCGTGGTGGTGGCGGCGGACATCGCTCTGGTGGTGGCGGCGGCCATGTAACTGGACTGCGACGTTACTACTAGCAGTTGTAGTACTAGTAGTCCATGAATGAACAAGAAGGTAAGAAAACTTGTATTGGCAAGCATTTTTGTGCTTCCCTGTTTCCGACTTAGAGTTCGGAGGAGAGTCATATAACTCATAAGATATTAGGATAAGGAGATTGATGTTTCTATAGCAAAAGCCTCTTGCGATTTTCTTGGGATAAAATGTATTAATTTCAATCGTTTGCTTCTTTCAAGAAATATTATTATTATAACAATGTTACGGATGATAGAGTTCACCTCGAGACGAGTCAAAGAGAAGGCAGCGGGAGAGGGAGTCACTCTTAACTCTTCTTTTAGAGCACACTGTTCTAACCAACTTAGCTAAGGTCGTGAGTGCAACTCTTCTTCTACTTAATTAGTACTACTAGAATTCTTCTTCACTTGTGAATAAGAAATCTTATATTCGATTCTCGCCAAAGACGAATTCTACCCAAATTATTACGGCTACTAACCATTATGATATTTAACTTACTCCCCCACTCATTAATAATTGATATGCATTCAAGATAATATGGAAAAAGTTCAGTAATACGTCTCGCCATTTTTAACATTTTTCTTGTCATCTTATTCTTTTCACTAATCAGATTGACTACGATTATATGAAGACATTAATGCTTGATCTATTTTGCCGTGTTTTTCGATATGTTAATTAATTTTAATTATGTAATTAGTTAAAATGATCTACTTTTAAAATATTGACGACAAATCGATCATGTAACAACAATACAACCATGATATAAACGACATACTAAAAACGAATCATTTCAGAAACCAAATGTTAAAAACTGATCATTTCAGCCGAAAGTCGTGTCATAATCTCACTCTTGCGCTTACGCGCCACTGTCTAGAGCGGTCATGGAAGACACAAAGTCAATTCATGTGTGGACATAATTACCATAAGATGGCAAGTCCTTCTGCCTACATAACCTTGATGTGTTCTTACAGTAATAAATCAGCAAGAAAAAAATGCAACAGAGGTTGTATATAATTCTCTCGATTGGTGGTGTTCTCGGCCGCATTACAATGATATGAGCCATCCGACTTAAAAAGGGAATGCAATCGTCAAACAGCAAGTTTGGGGTCGTTGATCATGAGAATAACACTGCATTTTGTGCCTCGAAGAGGCGCAAGTAATATGAAGCAAGAACCGGGGGAGATGCAGAGTCAATAATAGGATTCCCACTCCCGATTTCAGTCTATACTTAATATGGCGCGCGTCGCTCAACGTCTACAGTTGCTGAACATGGTTAGTGATTTCTTCTGGGCAAGATTGGGCTTGTAAAAGCTCCAAACGTTGGAAAGGATGAGTAAACTGCAATATGTAGTCTTCATCTGTAGGAACACATGCAAAATTAGCACTTTTATTAAACAGGTGCACCATATGACTGCTGAGAAATCGGAATCTCACTACTAGAGGTATGAAAGAAAAGCTACTGAATTCCTGGAAATAAAATGAGTTTTATAGAATATCGAACAGACTCATGTGGTAGTGCTGTGTTAACCGTTATAAATAAAGTTGTAATGTTCCGTGTGCCAGATGCAGGAGTACAAGTTATGCATTGATTTCATAGTTCTGTTTTTCTTTTAACTAAAGAGGGGAGGAAGAGGAGAGAAACGAGAGAGAAAACGGAAGAATAGAAAGAACTAAACCTAGAAACAATTTAAAATTGCTTTCAGTTTTATTTCCGTAACCATATGTTTTTCTTCATCTTCTCACATTTCCTCCTCCAATCTCTTTCTTCAATTAGAGAGTAGAGAATCATGTTCTCGTTTATGCTTTTTTCTATTTGGATGGGAAACCAACGAAGCTGAAGGGAAAACGTAGACAAAGATTAAAGAACTCACTCTCTTTTACAGTCCCATATAGCCAGCATAATACCTCATCAGCAAATGCCAAGCAAACTCCTCCCTGCCAACAAGATTCATTAGAAGCGACAACCAGTTTCATTAAGCATTTATTCAGCACAACCATGAGCAATACACTTCATAAATACTAAGATCGTTAAATCAAATTTTTTCAGTGTGACGATTAGGAAGGTGGGTGGCTGTATGATCAGAGAGTACATCACTGAAAACAAAATTTACCTGCCAGTAGTTCTTCATTTTCACTCTGTGTGTTATATCTTTGGTTCTTAGTCTCTCTGTGCGGACAAGTTGACCTGCATCGTTCCTGAAAAAAGGGAATATATACAAATTGATTAATTTTGTAGAACAGAATATCAAAGAGCTACCACAAAAAAAAAAAAAAAAAAAAAAAACTCTTCCAGGAACAAGTAACCGCACAATGGAATATATAATTCATGTGTTTCTATGCATATTAAAGTTATTTGTGTCAACTATATCAGTTACCATTCTTTTGCGCCTTTTAATACACATAAGCCACCAACGAATGTAAAAAGTTAATTGTCTACCGAGTAAGAAAGTAAAAGGATTAAGTGGCAATTTGGGTTACCTAAATCCAATGACGATATAGGGAACACCCGCTAAGAATGATTGAATCTGCACCAAAATTAAGAGAAATGTTAACTCTTTTTACAATTACAGATTTTACAGAAGCCCGATGAAAATATAAAAGACGGGTTAACTCTTTTACATAAAAGCAGATGCTTGGAAATATAAATAGGAAATGGACTATAGACAATGACAACCAATTCCTTGAGAAAACCAGACAAGACTGAGGTACAATCTAAATTCTGCAACTATGCATCTCAATCTCTAACAAAAGCTATTGAAGACCCTGTGTGTTTTTACTTTTTAGGTAATAAAACAGTAATGTACCCAAAATTTGAGGAGCTTTTCTTTCTCAAACTCGTACTCTATCTTATGGTTGTCCAACTGCACAATTGAATGAGAAATTTACAGTCAGTTACATAAGAAAACTCAGAGAAGAAAAAATTTGCATGTAACAGAAAGGTGAAGAAAAACAGATCTCAACCTCATGGCTTGTCTTTAATTCCACATAAAACCTCCTTCCATCATCAGTTGAATCACAGCAATCCATTTCAGCACCCATCAGAATACGATGAGCCCCTAATTTTGTTTTGATCACAGAACAGTATTCAACATTGGCATCAACATGATGTATCGGTCCATCGCCTCTTCCTGGATCTTCAGTGGCAAGACTCTCAAAACAATACCCCCAGTAACACCTGAGTTGAAAGGATAACATTGCATAAAGCACGCCTAAAATTGAGAATAAGCAATAACAGAAAAATGCATCTAGGCATGATTAGCCCTCTTGAACCGGTTGATGAAGAACAACAAAACATCAGTTACAAGTAGCTGGTAAGTCATGATTAGCCCTCTTGAACCCTAATTAGAGCACACATACATATCTCCCACAATAGCTTTCTGATTTTCTCTAGATGACAGGAAGCATTTATGCCCAACTTCAATGAAGTAAATCATATACCTTATGAAAACTTCTACATCTACTCTATATTACATCTCATTACTATATTACAGATTTACAGAAAGAATTGTAACACATTTAACTTTGACAATCCTTATCAAAATTCCAGTTCTTTCATAATGAAAACTCGAAATAGTTGGCTGCTAATCCATCCTTCGGGTACAACTTGAGAAGAAAGGTTTGGAAACATTGATATTCATTCATAAATCTATTTCTTAAGCAGGAGAATTCCATTGATTAAAGCAATTAGCAATTCCAATAACTCCACTAAACAAACCAGGGAAGCATTTCCAAATACTCCAAGAAAATAGTCATTATCATCTAGAAAGACCATTCAAATTTCTAAAGAATGAATAAAAGTCCAGTACCTTCTTCGATCCAACTCAGTCTGTGGCCTTTCAGGTAGTTTATGCACATCAAGATAGACAACCCCATTTCTTTTATGTACTCCCATCTCCCAAGGATCCCTTTGGTTATAAAAAGTGGCCAATATCTACAGAAAAAAAGACAGAAGCATATGAAATACAACAAAAAATCCTGTTAACTAGTCCAACAAATACCACAGCTTAAATAATTACACTAATAACCAATCAGTTGAAGTATTCTACAGCATTGTGTCTCTAGTAAGCATGCATATAGATAATTATAATTATCAGTAACTTGAGTATCCATTAAAAAGCAGTCATCAGAGGCCTGTAGCTGCTTTATGCATTCAACTTCTTGAACATATTCCCTCTTATCCAAAATTACCACACCTCTACACACAGTATGATAACTAACCCACTGTTCATCAATGGTATCCACTCAAACTAATTAAGAAAATTATCTTCAGAACAAAATAAGCAAAGGGGCTAGGAGATACCTTATTTAGATTGTTGCGATAAGTCTGTCAAAGAGAAAAACATGTCAAGCAAATTAGTAGTTAATAATCCATATGAGAAAATTATAAAATAAGAAAAGTACAAGTGTAATACGCTTCGCACCACAAAATGAATGTTTTGAAGCGGAATATTCTTGTCTCTTATGCAGGCGAGAAGATCACCAAAACCTTGAGAGCCTAAATCTGGTTTACACAATAAAAAAAGCATATAAATTTGCCAACAAAGATCAGCCCTCATATGCAAAACCGAAAAGAAACAAAATAAACTAACTCCAATTCACATCTTATAATCCCAAAAAATAATT